TGGCTGAACAAGTTGGCACTCCCACCAGCAATGGAGGAGTGTTCCCCTCCCCCCAATCCTCTCCAGCATAAACTGTCATTGGTGTTTTTGATTTTAGCCATTCTGACAGGAGTGAGATGGTATCTCAGAGTTGTTTTGATTTGCATTTCCTGGATGGCTAGAGACTTTGAGTAATTTCTCAAGTGTCTCTCAGCCATTTTAGACTCCTCTACTGAGAATTCTCTATTTAGCTCTGCGCCCCACTTTTTGATTGGATCCTTTGGTGTTTTGGAGACTTGCTTCTTGAGTTCTTTGTAAATTTTGGAGATCAGCCCTCTGTCAGATGTGGGGTTAGTGAATATCTTTTCCCAATCTGTGGGGTGCCTTTTTGTCTTGCTGACTGTGTCCTTTGCCTTACAGAAGCTTTTCAGTTTCAGGAGGTCCCATTTATTGACTGCCGATCTCAGTGTCTGTGCTACTGGCGTTACGTTGAGGAAGTGGTCTCCTGTACCAATTTGTTGAAGAGTACCTCCCACTTTCTCTTCTAAGAGTTTCAGTGTGGTTGGATTTATGTTGGGGTCTTTGATCCTCGAGCACTGTTCTTGTCTACTCTGTATCACCAAATGAGATGACTATTCTATGATCAAGTGACATGACTCTGCAGTGGTCCATGCCGAAGACACATCAACCTGCCTCCATAGACTCTTTTTTAAAAAATTATTCATTTATCTTTGTGTTCAGTGGTCTTTTGCTGTGTGTATGTCTGTGTAAGGGTGTCAGGTCCCTTGGAACGGAAGTTACAGACAGGTGTGAGATGCTACATAGGTGATGGGAATTGAACCCGGGTCCTCTGGAAGAGGAGTCAGTGCTCCTAATTGCTGAGCTATCTTTCCAATCCCAATCCTTGTTCTTTTAACAGTGGAATCTACTTGAATTCCTACGTGGGCCTCCACTTATTAGTTACCGGGTATTTGAAAGAACTAGTGGCTGTGGATTCTCCTTCGAATCAAAGCAAGTTTTCAGCTCTCCAGAAGAGGGCAGTCTCTGTCCACATTTCCCACCTCCACACCCATCATCACTCCCGCAGTTCTTGGTCTGATCTGGTTTAAAATTATCCAAGTCTTTTTTCTTTTTCTTTTCATCGGCATTCTTCATTCATAGGCCTCACTTTCTTTTATCCTCATGAATCTTATTTCTCCTTCTAAATTTGCTGTCCCAGCTCCTGCTGGGTCCCCTCAGATGGGCTGCCCTGGCCTTCCAGTAGTCTCAGCTCCTTCCTCTCTTTCCGACTGCCAGCAGAGTGTTTTTGAGGCCCCTGTTCAGACCTCGTCAAAGTCTCCCCAGCAATGCAGGAGATAAATGTGTCCAGCAGGCAGGGCAAAGCTGTTACCCCAGTGTTCATGATCATGAGAATCAAGCTGCTACCCGTTTCTCGGGGCTTCTTTCCCTGTCCCTCACAAGCCGACCATCTTGTGGGTTTTGTAGTAATGAGTCAGGACACAGCCGAGTGCCTTCTCTGTCCATAGACGTGGTCTAGCCTCTGTGAACCTCAGCTTCCATCTCTACAGGGGTGTCAGTGACACCTACCCTCAAGGTTGGTTTTAGAAATAGACAGTACCATAAACATTTCTGGTTTATAGATTCTACATAGTAAATGGTATCATTGTCACCATCAACAAATGACTCTGAGCTTCTCCAGGTACCTTTAAAAATTGACTAACCCCCTGCCTTCCATCTAGTGACATTGTATCTCTAAGGGGTAACCTAGAATTCATTTCTTCTTCTTTTTTAAGTTTTGTTTTAAATTATTTAGCTCACCATATGAATGTTTTGCCTACGTGTATGTATATGCACCACATGGGTGCCTGGTGCCTGAAGAGGGTATGGGATCCACTGGAACTGGAATTAATAGTGGTTGTCCACCACTATACAGGTGCTTGGAAGAGAACCTGGTTCCTCTGCAAGAACATCAAGGATTCTTAACTGCTGAGCCATTTCTGTAGCCCCCCCCCACTCGTTTTTCCTTCTTTATGATAACTTGCCCCCACCATCCTCAAGTGGGCCACTAGTACTGTGGCTTACCTGGTACCATGGAAGAGGCAGACAAGCCCCTACCCAGGTGACAGGCATGCCTTGGAAGATAAAAGACTGAGGGAGGAGATGCGTGTGATGAGTTCCAAAAGGAAAAGTCAACCTGACTGTGGGACCAGACAACAGGAAGGTATACAGTGTTAGGGAAGGAAGGTTCGTGGTTAGTGTTAGCTTACCTGAGAAATGAACACGAAGGCTGAGTTGTCAAGACAGACCAAGCAGGGAGTAGGAAAAAAATTCCAGACCAAGAGAAACAAACATATCCTTTCTTTCCCACTGGGTTTTTACTTTAAAAGTTTGCTGTTTTTTTATTTATATGTTTTGCCTGTAACTATGTCTATGTACCGTGTGCATGGCATGCCCAGTGCCCACAAACACCTGAAGAGGGTGTTAGACTCTCTAGAACCAGAGTTACAGATTGTTGTGAGTCACCATGTGGGTGCTGATAATCCAACTAAGGTCCTCTGGGATTTCAGTCAGTACTCGTAACCTCTGAGTTATCTCTCCAGCCCCCCCACATCCTGCTGTGTTTTAATTTGCCAAGACCAAGAACTAAACTTCACTCTCATTAAGTCTGCGAAGGTTTCTAAAAAGCCCTTTGCCCATCAAGTCTGTTTATAGGTTGTTCAACAGAAAGGTTAGGAAATGTAGCTTTTAAATTGTCATGTTCTGGTCTCCTGCAGAAAGGGAAAGGGACAAGATCTCCTGAGCTAATTGGGAACATGGGGGGGGGGGGGGGGAGAGGAGAAGGAGCTAGGAGAAAGAGAAGGGGAGAAGAGGAGGGGAGAGGAGGACATGAGGGAGCAGGAAGGTTGAGTTGGGGAAAGAATAGAGGAGAGCAAGAAAAGAGATACCTTAATAGAAGGATCCATTATAGGTTTAAAAAGAAATCTGGCACTAGGGAAATGTCCAGAGATCTACAAGGATGATACCAACTAACAATCTAAGCAGTAGTAGAGAGACTACCTTAAATGCCCTTCCCCTATAATGAGACTGATGACTACCTTAAATGCTAACCTAGAGCTTTCATCCAGTAGCTGTTGGAAGCAGAAGAATATATTCACAGCCAACTACTAAGCCGAACTCTTGGAATCCAGTTGTAAAGAGGGAGGAGTGATGAGCAAAGGGGTCAAGACCAGGCTGGAGAAACCATAAGCAAGAGCTGACCTGAACAAGGGGAGCTCATGGACCCCAGACTGATATCTTGGAAACCAGTATAGGACTGACCCAGACCCCCTGAACATGGTGTCAGTGAGGAGGTCTCGGCAATCTACGGGGCCTCTGGCAGTGGATTAGTATTTATCCCTAGCAAACGAATGGACTTTGGGAGCCCATTCCACATAGAGGGTTACTTTCTCAGCCTAGACACACAAGAGATGGCCTAAGTCCTGCTCCAAAGGATATGATAGACTTTGAAGATCCCCCATGGAAGATCCCTCCCTGGGAAGCAGAAAGGGAATAGGATAGGGAGTTAGTGGCGGGGCAGGGGAGGAGGGGAGGGAGAGGTAGCTGGGATTGGTATGTAAAACAATCTTGTTTCTAATTTAAATAAAAAAATAGAAAAAATAAATTGCCATGTTCAATCAACAGGGAGTGGAATTCTGTCTACTCTGTGCTTTCTGTATCTGCCTCGAAGCAGCTACATGTTAGAGCCCTAACATGGCAGTGAGAAAAAAACCTTACTTCTCCCTAGATCCCCTCCCTCTGAGGCTGAGGACTTGGGGAATGGGTGTGGAAGGATCATGCTCCATCCAACACTGTGCAAGTCACTTTAATTCACTGTTTCGGTAAATCAGGGCAGTGAGGAAATGGACTCCACACCTACCAAGCAGCTTTCACTGCACTGTCTGGTTGTGGAGCTTTGGGTGCAACTACACTGCTTATCGTGAGAAACTCATCGGCATCTGGGGACTTGGGCAATGAGTATCTCGTGTATGTTGGCATGGGGACAGCTGTTTCACATGCAGCACAGAACCCAAGTGTACAGGCAGTGGTCCCACTCACCTCATGCTAAGCCATTCTGTAAGAGAGAGACTCTAATCTGCTTCCCAAACTCCTATCCTAGATCAGATCCATTGCAACAGGAGGAGCCATCCCGGGTCAGGTTCATTCTGATCAAGGGACAGACAGCACATGGGGGCCTGCTCCTGTCTCAAAGGGCTCCTTGCTACGGAATCTGTCTGAACCTTTCTCTCCAGTGATTACCCTTTAAGGACTGGCATTCTCAACTGAGTGGGGGCAGTATAGGACCCAAATACTCTGATTTCCCACGAGCGGAGTGTAGGGGAATCCATCGGGGAAAACTGAAGCTAAAAGTTTTCATCCAACTTCAACTGTCTAGAAAGGTGTGTTGGTAGCACACACCTTTAGTCCCAGCATTCCGGAGGCAGAGGCAGGCGGATCTCTGTGAATTCGAAGCCAGCCAGGTCTACAAGAGCTAGTTTCAGGACGGCCTCCAAAGCCACAGAGAAACCCTGTCTCGGAAAAAATAAAGAAAAAGAAAACGGTAAAGCCTGCCATATGCCTGGTAAATAAATAATTTTGGAGCTAAACTGATAGTCAACACTTCAAAAACTGAAGATGAATGCAAAGAGGAAGAAGTGACAACCTCTAAAGACAAGAGTGAGAGGTATGTTTGACCTGGAAGATTCCTGACAAATGGCAGGGCACATGTCTGAAGGCTCCAGCCCTGAGTTCCTGTCCCTACTCCACTTTTTTTTTTTTGCCTCAAGCTGACATGATTGCTACTTTGAGAGCACAGATGAGGGACTATCAAGCAGCTGGATGCTAAGATACTGTTGCTACTGGATCCCATCTCCTTGAAGCTCCACAGAAGCCATAATGGTGCCAAGTACATCTCTGTCATCACTCTCCTGACAACCAGCAGATGGAGCAGGTTGAAAGTCAAGCAACATAAAATGCACACAGTGTTACTTTGGGTTGCTCTACCACATCTTTATTAGTCTTAAAATATGCCTTTTAAAAAGTAGATGATCGTCTTTTTATTAACCCATTAAAGATATTGTATTGTTAGATAGTTAGCCTGGCTTCCAGACAACAGGAACAGAATTCAAGTGCAAACTTGTCCAGTTTTGTTGAAGTGTAATGAGCTTTGGATGAGTGACCTGAACAGCACCTGCCATGAGACTCTCAAGGAAGAAAAGCACAATTCTGCTTACCTAGCACTATTATTAAAGGGTACACACACACATAAATAAACAAATGCATATCACAAGCATACAAATTCAACTATTTTTAATATCCGTTACAAAAAGATCCTGGTCATTGTTGGTTAAGGTGAATAAAATACCTTTAAGTTACAAGAGTCAAGATCTTGTTTTAGCTCAATTTGTGCTCTAAAACTATTACTTGATTCCTCTGGAGGAGAAAAAGAGTTGGGGTAACTCCGTATTGCAGGAAAAAAGAGCTTTACACTTTTGACACAAACACATATGTCAACACCAGAGAAGGCTCGAAAGCATCTAGCAATCGTCTCAAATGTTCCCGAAACAACAACAAAGCCAACTCGATGTAATGAATTTCTATGGTAATTGCTAAGTTAATGTTTTCCACAAGTACGCACGAGAACTTTCTTCTTGGTCAGTAATGACAGCCAACATTGGAGGTCTAGAAATATGCATATGCACATGTATATTCACATATATATTTAAGAGCATCTGAAGAACCTGGGACATATTCACATACATGTTCAGAGTGTCTTGGATCTTCCACTTATATGTGGGTCTTAAATATTGCCAATGTTCTGGATAAACAAACGGGAGACTTTTGAATCTTTACCATACATGGACAGAACATCTAAGCAGAAGTTTTAGGATTGATGCATGGGAAGGATTCTTGTCTTTCATAATTTTCCTCTTGAATGAACATAAGTGCTTATATACTTTGTCTAGGGACTTTGGTGTCTGGTTATACTTGCTATGGAGGAATTGCTATAACTCACTTTCTTCCATGAGGAGGGAGGAGCCTTAGACAAATAAATAACCAATGTGGAGAAAATCACTTGTTTTCATGTGGTTGAGTTAATAATTAGACTAGACTCAGCTCAATTTTTCCCAAGTCTAGTGGAAAGAAAGACAAAGCATGTTTTTGCCACTGGGCACCCAATTGGATATCAGCTCTCCCAAGTGACACACCAGATTGGCCAGATAGATTATCTGGCAACAGAATGTGATCCATTGTCTGTTTATAATCAATTGGAGGAGAATCTTTACAGAGTAGGGACAGTATGTGTGGGGACACTCCTACTACTGTGGGACATTGTAGGTCTGGGGGAACAACACACTATACAGCTCGGGCTGGAGATGCAGCTCAGTGGGTAGAGTACTGGCCTAGTACGCATCAGGTCCTGCACTTGATCCACTCCCCCGCATAAAACAGGAGGATTAGACGGTCAAGGTTATCCTTGAGTACATCATAAATTCGAGGCCAGACTAACATACATGAGTCTCTGTTTAAAACAAAACAAAAACGTTGTATTCTTCATAGCCTGCATTTTCTGTTTGATTGTTCCCCCAGGCTTCTGTTTCTCTTTCCTGCAGAATACTGTTTGTGCTGATTTCAGTCCTTCATTGATGATAGCTCCCCCACCCCCAACCCCCTTCCCAAGACAGGGTCTCACTGTATGGCCTGGGCTGTCCTGGAACTTGCTCTGTAGACCAGACTGGCCTCAGACTCATAGAGATCCACATGCCTCTGCCTCCCAAGTGCTGGGATTAAAGGCGTGGGCCACCTTAGCTGGCTGTGATGAGAGCTCCTTTTAAGTTCTTACCCCAGTTTTGTACATAGCTGAGGGTCTGAGGATGCAGTTCATAGTATCAAAACAGAGTTCTGCTTTCTGAGCTAAAATGGGATCAGAGGACTTGAATAACCAATGGGGCCCCTGATCTCCTTGCATTCCCATGGACTGTCCTTTGCTAGATGAACAGGTATTAGCATTCCTGTGTCCATTGATGGAAGGAGCCCGACTATGCATCTGTCTTTGAGAAAAACTTGTGGTTACAGCATTTCAAGTCTGAATATATTGGATCCCTTCAAGGGATGGACTAATTACTTGTTATTATGTAATTTTAATGAGATCATTGTTTAAGTAGCAGATTGCAGTGCAGAAAACAGGTGCAATTGTAGGAAATGAGTCTGAAAAATAACATGATTTGGCTTACTAGGGGCCTGCATGCCTTCCAAATGAGTTCATATCTCATCCTCCAGGACACATTCTTTTCAGAAATACATTTACAGAGCAAGTGTGTCAGAGGGTGGCCATTGACCTGTGGTGAGCTCAGCTAAATGAAGTGTAGGTGTTTAAGACAGGCATTCTTCATGTTAATTAATATGCATGTGTGATCTCTTCATGTTAATTAATATGCATGTGTGATCTTTGCCACCACCTCCACCCCAGAACATGGACTTAAAGACTGTGTTTTACTAAACTGTAAATATAATATGATCATAGGCAAACAGCAAATACAAAAATTGTTCCTGAAGGACACATGAGTCTTAGGGCATTAAGTTTAATGTTATGTGCAACTCAGGACCCCAGATATGTCATGGCCTCTCATCATTTGTGTCTGGGGCATTGCAAGACTCTTAATAAATGGAATAAATGATATCCCTGGGTTAGTCTTCAAGTTCTTCACTTATAAAACAGGAAACTACACATATGTTTTTAAAAGATTAGAGAGTTGTGGAAAAGTGACCAGAGTGTTCTGTGACCAAGGACTTTTTTTTCCAAGTTAAATTGGTATAACTGAACAAAGGAAAACACAGGACTGACAGAGGGCTCAGGGAGTATAGATGCTTGCCACCACCCATGAAGATCTTGGAGAAATGAACCAACTCTTGGCAAGCTGTCTTCTGGCTTCATCATACCCATACACGTACATGAAGACATAGGCAGACAAACACAAATAAACACATATAGAAAATAAAAAAGGAAACAAAGGGGAGAGAGATGCATAGTCTTTTCTTAATCTGTTTAATGCCTTTGTACAGGGCCAATCATAGTTAGCCTTGAACATCCTATTACTTGTTTACACGGAGCCTGGGACCCAGCAGGTAGGCATGTGGGGAACTGTGGTTAGAAACCCAGGCTGGAGCCAGATCATCTGGGTTAAATCTCAGCTCCGCCTTTAACTAACTGTGTGAAACTTACTGCCCCTGTAGACTCTGATGATTTGGCACTTTTTTTCTGCCTTAGATTTTATCTGCAAAATGGGAACGTAATTCTACTTATCTGCGAGAGCTGTGGAGAAGGTTCCAAACAAAATAATAAGTGTCGGCTACTATAGTTAGCTGCTATTATTATTTCCCTTCTTTTTCTGTTCAGGGAAAGAGAAGCTTGTCTTAATTCGTTCTTTGTAGTCTAGCTGTAGAGTTAGTAGCCACTCCAATTTCCTTCTCTCTCCCAAGTTTTTAAAAAGAGATTCATTTTTATGCTCTAATTCTGTCACACCATCCTCCCCTGTGTGTGTTTGTGTCCAAATGTGTGTGAGTCCATGCATGTGTGAGTGTAGGTACCCTCAGAGTCCTGAAGAGGCATTTATGAGCTGCCCAGCATGTGTTCTACGAACCAATGTCAGGTCCTCTGCAGGAACTGCAAATACTAAGTCACTACACCACCCCTCAAACCTCTCACAACTCATTTTTAAGGCATTTACTCCCCTACCAAGCACACTTAGAGTTCCATTTTCTATTCTGGGAGCCCATATATTTGAAAGAGCCACCAGTGTTCATTTGTTCGGTGGCAAACAGTATGCAAGTACATTCACATTCCTGGTTTACTTTCGAATCATTTCCTGTCTGGCTTACCTTCAGTTTTTGCCGACTCAGATGAAGGTCAGTCAAACACACAGGAATCTTTGGTGTGTAGAACCAGGATGGAGGAGAAGGGAAAGCTAGAAATGGAAATTAGTGATGGACTGCATGGGAATGTGAGGTAAGAGGGAAGGATCATATCTGTATGACAGCCAGTGCTGGGTGCTGCAAGTCTGTAGTCACCACAGCACACTGGTCAAGTTTCATCACTCTGCCAACGAGCTAACAAAATAAAACAACACAACAAAAAAACCTCCAAAACCTACTAACTGAGAAAAGCTAACCAATTACTTGCTGCCGGGAAAATATTATCTTGATTTCATCTTTCGTTTATGTCAATGCATTTGTCTGTTTATGAAAAGTTCCCCCACGGAAGCCAGTGAAGCACCACTAGTTCAACGTCCAAGGAGTCTCTCATAACTTCCCTGAATTTTCCCTCCATGGCAGACAGCGGGACTCTGTGTTGACGTCAGCAAGGAACTAGAACAAGCATCATGTTGTCTATTAGCAGGGAGAACGTTTAAAGACCACTTCAGCAGATCAAACAAGCCGGTGAGGGCTGATAGACACATACTGTCCTCATTTATACACACTTATGGCTTGTGTTTCTCTCTGAGGACAACCATAAAGATGAGCAAGCGTCTGAATGATCAAGATATTTACATTAGTTTTCAATGGCTTTTATCATTGAGAGGCAAAAATTGAGTGGAAGAGTGCTTTTCACAAGGATCCTCCGAACAGTGGCTACCCAGCCACTAGTTTTGCTGATTATACACTATAACATCTGGATACATAGAATTCTTGTGTTCTACAAAGAGCAAAAGATTGCTCTTATTCATATTCACAGCTCTGTCAATGCAGTATGAAAATCTTTGTCTTCTCTCTCTCTCTCTCTCTCTCTCTCTCTCTCTCTCTCTCTCTCTCTCTGCCAATAACCATTCCAAGGCCTTTTAATACAAAGCGGGGTGTATGTGTATTTTATGAGCTTGCTCAGACACATTAGCTGGCAAGCTATCCTGTCACAACCTAATGAACTGAGTTCCATATAGTGACCTCTGAGTGGCATGTTACACCCAGAGAGGGGTGATGTCAAGCCCAGATGTCTAGCCAGATGACAGTAGTGACAACAGACCTCAGAGGCAGGAAAGCATAGTAAGGAGGCCATAACACCAGCTCAGAGTCACCATTTCTCCCAGGAAGTCACCTGGACTTGAAGTTTAATGCCTTAATTTGAAAAATGGAAGGCACACTCCCATAAATTTTAATTTCTACTTCACCCCTATGTCTATTGTCATTGCTTTCTTTATAAAATGTGCATCTGAGTTTGGAGCAAAGAGCCTCAGAGAATTCCCAATACTATTTTAAAATCATCTTTGAATTTTCTTCAAAAGTAGCTCCATTCTATTAAGTTCTAGCAAAATCACTGAAGTGGGCAAACACCAAATAAAATTGAACCACCATGATTTTTGTTAATTATATAGTGGAAAAAAATAAAATGAAGATTGGATTTCTAATCCAATCTCCATCATTATATTGGTCCAGAAAGTACAATGACTATTTGATTTTCTGCTTATTAAAGGGTGATCTGGAACCATATTCTTTGGCCAACTTATTTTTGTTTCTCCCGAGTCTGACCTCTAGTTATGTCATAAATTGTTCCTTGGGATCCATGACACAGAATTAAACAGACTCATAGTTAAATTTAAATAGAAGCAGCAATCTTGCAATGCCCAGGCTGACCATTGCTTTATAGAGTACCAGAAATTCAACCTGTAAGTTTTGATTTTGTCTTGATCATTAATGTAATAAATCTACTGTGTTCACCTTCAAGAGTATAAATGCCCAGGCATGTAGCAATAGATAGCAGTTATGTGCCCAAGTGCATGGCACTTTTCAGATCTCTCCTTATAGCCAAAGGAAAACTGGTATAATTAGACTCTTAGATATTTCAGACAAGCATTTCTTTGGTCACGTTGGGCACTATCTCAGTAGGGTATTTATGCTTCTAATACGTTTGGGGAAAATGCCACCAGAAGACTTATTACATCTAATGCTGTCTGCATGCTAACAGTTTTTATTCTTTTTCTTCTATCTGTGCATGGATGCTGATTCTTGGCCATGCTAGCTGCTTCCTCTAACTCTGAGCCACACCCTCTGCTAACAGTGCCTTTAAAAACCTTTGAAGCAACACTGAAGACAGTATTATTTACAGTCACCACCCTGAAGGACATTTGCATGTGGTTTAGAGAGTCTGGGGCAATACTTGTGTTTCTCTGCATCATATCAACTTCTCTGAAGGCTTGAAGTAGATAGAAGCAAAGCCTGGAAACAAGACACTCCCACAGTGAGCCTCAACGAATTCACACCCAGCAGCTGAACAGATGTCCTTGTTACCTCACACTGTTACAAGTAACCACCTGAGGGCCAACATAATTTATCTATATAAAAAAATACTGCTTCTCAAAGGTATATTTAACAGCAGAATATTAGAATATTTAAAAACCCAAAGATAATACTGACATTTGACACAGTCGTATTATAATATTTTCCTCTCCGGGAGCAATAAAATCAAGCCTGTACTGAAGTGTGTTCTATTGCTTCCTCAGATTCCTTTATTGACATTTCAGCAGGCACACCCTGCGGCGAATGCAGTAAGCCCCAGGTTCTGTGCTTACTCAACTATCCAGAGGACCAGGTCAAAGTGCCCAAGGACCATCTCGTACCTGGATTTGAAAACAATGAAACAGGATGGTGATTCGGGTGCCCACGTAAGTCCCAGTGGACAGATGACACTGGAGGTGGGAGGGGCACCTCAAATGCCTCTGCCCCGTGTGATGCAATTATTCCCAGCTCCCCCTTTTCTCTGCGATGATGCACCAGTTGCCATGGTCATTGCTGGCACTCAGAACCTGCAGCTCGGACACACTCTCCTGCAGCAGTCCAGACAGCTCACCTTCCCGGAACACGTGGTAGTAGCGCATGAAGGCTCTGGAATCCGGGGCATCCCGCTGCTCCTCCTCATAGCTTGGGTCTTCTGGTTTGGGATCTGTTGAGTCGAATGCAGAAACTCTCTTTAGCATTTTTCTGGCAGAAGGATCACTGGCATGACCTGCAGTCACACTGTCTCTGGTGTCAGTGGCGTCCAGAAAATCGCTTCCCTCCTTCCCCCCGCCCACTCCTCCCTCGTGTCCACGGAAATTCTCTGAAGCGCCGGTTGCTCCCAGCCAGCCGACGTGGCTTTGTGAAGTTGTGTCTACAAACACTTCATCTAAGTTTGGTCCTTTTGCTGAAAACGGTTCCTGGGGATGGAAGTCTAAGCTGGAGTGTCTGGAAGGCTGACGGGACACAGTGCTGTTGGCCCAACCCTCTGTGATTTTCATGGGTCTGGCTCTTTCAATTTGTTTCCTCAGGGTTGATTCATCCAAAGACCTGGAGAAAAACCAGGAGCGAAAAGATTTTCCAAAATTGTTATACAATCCATTCTCTTCCTCATCTTCCTTCGATATATCTTCATGGGAGGTTCTTGCCGCCGCAGGCCCGTAGTCCATGCTGTGGGACCGCTTGGAATCGCATCTGCCCTGAAAACACACTGCGCAGCCGCATGCAGAGCCAGGGCCCTGGTAGCCTTGGCTCATGGGATGCCCACACTGATGCCCCCAGGACTGGTGGGATTCTGAGAGCAGCCCGGAACAGAATGCACGGTTCCATGGCACAAGCACGTCCTGCTTCTCGAAGTGTCGGTTCTTCTGTTCCATTGCCCAAACGTAAATCATCAGTTGGCCTCCGGGAGCTAAGACCCTGGCCATTTCCTTTATCGCTCTAATTCTTCTTTGTTTTGTAGAAAAATGATGTATGACTGAAAAAGACAAGCAGACCAAAACAGAACTTAGATCTCACTGCGCATACATACATCGTATGCATAAACAAACATACACACTGATGCGTTTCCAAAGACCGATGACGCAATTCTGACCTAGAGAGAGCCTTGTCTCAATAAACTGGGGAAACAACACGGGTCTGTGTACCGGCTGGTTTTGTGTGTCAATTTGACACAAGCTAGATTCATCACAGGAAGGAGCCTCTGCTGAGAAAATGCCTCCATGAGATCCAGCTGTGAGGCATTTTCTCAATTAGTGATCAATGGGGCAGGCCCAGCCCATGGTGGGTAGTTGTCCCTGGGCTGCTGGTTCTGGGTTTTATAAGATGAGCTGAGCAAGCCAGGGGAAGCAGCCAGTAAGCGGCACCCCTCCAGGGCCTCTGCATCAGCTCCTGCTTCTGGGGTCCTGCCTTACTTGAGTTCCTGTCCTGACTTTCTTCAGTGTAAGCCTACTAAGCCCTTTCCTCCCCAGCTTGCTCTTTGGTCACTGTGTTTTGTCGCAGCACTCACAGTTTTATTAGGCATATTTTCACCAGAAAATGTATAGAAGTGCTGGTTTATGAGATCCTGGAAGGGTTTAAAACAAGCACCGTGTCAAGAGGAAACCTTCTTAGTCTTTGGAACAGGACCTATTACATCGATCAGGGAGGAGACTGGTTCCAAGCACAGCTGAGAGACTCCCGATCTGATGTGGTCAGCACTGGCAGAGAGCGGCTGAAACTGGCCTCTTTGTGTTTACATCATTAAGCTGTTAGTGATGATTTTAAACTAGAGATCTCTGTGGTTTGCTGGCCACAGAGATGCAGTGAGTATCTAAAGAGAAAGTCTGATATATATATATATATATATATATATATCCTAACTGTAACTGACATATAAGTATATATATAAGGAGATATATATATATATATATATATATCTTTCAGAGAGAGAGAGATCACTCAATAATACAATTTGTTTTATTTTCTATCTTTTTAAAAAATTTTTGGGTTCTTTTTTTGTGTGTGTGTGTGCTTGGGTGATTTGCCTGCAAGTATGTATGTACACCACGTTTGTGCAGTGGCCAGGAGGGTGTGTTAAATCTCTTGGAAGTGGAGTAAGTGACAGTTGTGAGCTGCTTTGCAGTGTTCATAGAGACAGGACACAGCTTCTGGTGTGTGACAACTCACTGCTTTGAATTTGTAAAGCCCAAAGAGGGGTCAGGGGAAACATGTTAAAACAGAACTAATTTCATGCAATAAATATCTCTTTGGAATAGACTAATAGGTCTTCAATTTTCCAGGATTCTACCCAGTTTCAAAGGGTGTTTGTATTATGTCCAAAACAAAGTCTTCATTTATTGATAAATACAGAAGAATGCATTTATTTTTTGTTTTTTCGAGACAGGGTTTCTCTGTATTGTTTTGGAGGCTGTCCTGGAACTTGCTCTGTAGATCAGGCTGGCCACGAACTCACAGAGATCCACCTGCCTCTGCCTCCCAAGTGCTTGGATTAAAGGCATGTGCCACCAACACCCGGCTTAGAAGAATGCATTTTTAATTATAATCTTATGCAGAAAAGTGACTCTTAATGTTTTAAATTTATATTTAACAGGGAGTGGGTAACAGCTTTTAAAACAAGCGCTTTTTAAAAATTTTTATTTATGCGTTTGTATCTGTGTGAGAAAATACCATGTGTATACAGGTGCCTATGGAGACTAAAGAGAGTGTTGGGCCCTCTGGTACTGGAGTAGGCAGCTGTGGCCTGTCTAACCTGGTTCTGAGAATCGAACCTGGGTCCTCAGCAAGAGTAGCAAATGCTCTTAACAGCTGAGCCATCTCTCCAGCCCTAAGCCAAATGTTTTGAGGGAAAAAGAGGATTAAGGAGGAAGATTTCCTAACACATCTCAAACGTGCCATATACACTCACACATACATACATGTACTATATACACCACATACATGTTCTGTTAGAAAGCACTATGTCACTATAGTGAAATCTGTCTGAAATGCCATTGCTGAGAGACTATGCTGAAAATTTAAAAATTAAAAGAGTATTTTTGTTTGTGAATCATAATCATAACTTAAATGCAAAAATAGTATTCCATATATGCACTCCATATATATATTTGGAACAATTTTCCTGTGGGGAGGATAAAAAAAATAACTTCAATCCAACTTTTGGATTACAGAACCAAATTGTGACAGCAGATTTCCTTTAACACCCTGTCACATCTTTTATGACTTGCTGGTGTTTAACTTTGCAAGAGCGTAGGTCTTGCTAAGCACTCAGAACCTAGGGGTTTGGCGGAAAGCGGGTTTAAAAAAAACGTTAGTGCCACTGACATTTGGAGCTAGATCATTCCTGTTGTGGGAGAGCTGCCCACTAGCTGACAATGCATACGTACACCTGTCCACTTATGAGTCCCCCCAAATGTCTCCAGACATAGCTCAGTGTTCCTTGGAGGGTAGGGGCCGGGAGGGATAGAGTTCTTCTTCAGAGTTGGTGTAGTGTGGGTAGTTGATTTACACTAGTTTATGCTGTTGGATTCTTCTAGACTGTTTACTGAGCTGCTCTAAAGGCAGGAAGTGTTTCTGTTTCAAATCTGCCAGGGAAGCCCGATGAGTGTATAGCCAAGAATGACAGTTGTCTCTGTTACTGAGACTCCAAAAGCAAGAAAATAAGGAGAGAAAAAGATATGTCTTCATGTCAAGACAAACGAGAAATGCCAAATATGCAATTCAAAATAGGGAATAAATATATATGAATGTGAAAGTCTTGAAATTTCTCACAGTGTTATTCTAAATGTGAAATGTGATTGAAAAGGACCATATCATGTTACCTCATAGCTATAGTTCCCAAAAGCATGTTTGGCTTTTCTACTTAAAGGGCTATTTTTGTTTGGTTTATTTATTTTGAGTCAGTACTTCTCTGTGTACGCCAGGTTGACCTCAAACTCACGATGCGCCTGCCTCAGCCTGCACAGGGCCGGGATTATAGATATGTGCCATTGTGTCTATCAAGGGATCATTTTCAAATAAAAGTAGTAAGAATGTGTGATAGTAAATTTCAGCTACTATAACAGAATGCCAAAGACTAGGTAAGTTATAAACATCACCTCTCTTAGGAAAACAGTACATACATCTCTCTTGTGACAACTAACTCATTTCCACCCTCAGCCTTCACACATTCAGGAGGGCCATGGCAAACTCTAACGTAACCTGTGGAAGGGCCACAAATGAGAGAGTAGCGTGTTCCACTTTCTGTGACGGAAAAGCATAGCCCTTATGCTGAGAACAAAGAGCTCAAGAAGAAACACGCGCATTTCTCAAACACAGAAAAGCTATCAACACCGTCCTCTCCTCCACAGTAGCTGAGATGCGCTGACATAGCCTCTTGGAGTTGAGAAACCAACATGAGCAGAAAGAGAGCAAAGTCTCCTTCCGAACTCTCTTTAATTCCTAGTTCTTTAGGAAAGTGACCATATAAAAAAATCTTTCCCGGCTAAAGATTCCAAGCGCAGCATGGTATTGTTTAGGTAAAAAAAAAAGTTTGATATATCTGTGTCACTTCAACCAAGACTATGTCCACAGGAAGTGGGACCTTTGGGAAGTCACCAGGCCCAGATGTCCTCCTGGGTCGTGGGATTAGTGCCATCATAAGAAGCCAGCAGGCTTGACGCTCAGCCTCTACCTCTGCCATATAGGGAGTCAGTAAACAAAAGAAGAAGATGGAGGCATCAGCCATCTGCAAGCCCCCCTAAGGACCTGGCTCAGCTGGTTCTTTGATGTAAGAAATAAAAAAATCTGTTGTCTTAAAACACAGCAGCCCATGATGTTTTGTTACAGCAGCCTGCATAGATTGATGTTTACAGCAAAATGCACTAAACGTTTTCAAGAGCAGGAAGTAAGACAGAATAGGGGAGGTTCCCATGGCAACCACCTTTTACTGTTCCTAACCATGTTTACAGGGTTGACTGCTCTAGGGTTACACACACCCAGGCCTGAATCTTTCACTATACAAAGATACAGTTCCCACCTGAGGAGTCCTGGCAATCTCTCCTCTAGTTCAAGAAAGTATAAGTAGTATTATTCTATAGTTTACTAATCTTTTAATCATGAATGGTAATCAGCTTCCATAAGATCATCTGGCTTTGGTAGAGTTTGTTATATCAAAAGGTTAATTTTAAAAAAATGTGTTGAGTCAAGCAGCTAGCTTTGTAAAAATTTTAGAACGATGAAGAGTTTAGTAGAGGATTCCTGTATTTTTGATTGATTGGTTGATTCGTTTGTTTTGAGACAAGGTTTTACTATGTAACCTTGGATGGCCTAGAGCTCACTATGTATACCAGGCTGGCTTCAGACTCACAGAGATCCACCTGCTTCTGTCCCCCAAATGCTGAGAATAAAGGTATACAGCACCACGTCTGGCTAGAGGATTCCTGTAATATAGGTCTTCCTAGCACAATGAGGTATAACCAACTCATTGCATGTAAAGAGCACCAGGTAAAGCGAGCTCATATATGCATGCATGTTTCAGGCATGGATTTTGTTGTTGCTGTTATTTTGTTTGCTCTGGCACTGAGTTTATTGGGATGATAGACTCATCAACATCTAGAATTAGGAACACAAAGACATGATAAAACAATGCAATCTGGGACCAGGTAAGGCCTGTCTTTTCCAGGAACTTGAATACCAGTGAGTGACACACCAGTCCAGGTGGTGCTTAGTTCTAGAATTTCCTGCTAACAAAGGGAACTGTTGTGACCTGTTATTTTCAGTAACATGACACCTGAATAATCTACTTTATGGCAGGAGAATCTGTCCTGATTTCAATACAGAAAAGCATGTTTCCTAGGAAGCTGAGTCTGGCGCCTTAGACCACTCAGCCACCCTAACACAACGAACAGCACATTTTCAATGGGTGAAAGCTCTAACATTTTTCATGCACATAGTAAAAGAAATGGGTACACAATAATAAAAAATACAATAATAATAGCCGGAAGGTTTAAAATTAAAACAACATATATACCATAAATGTATTAGGCAAGAGTCAAATAAGTCAAGCAGTAGAATATATAAATTAAGTAAAATACATTGCATAGACTTCTACAAAGAATGGACACTGAGTCATGTGATTAGCTTGACTGTGGTTTTTCATGGCAAAGTGTGATTGTGGCCTGGCTGCCTTACCTCCTATGGAGATGATAGCATCGAAGCCCTGGTCCCTAAAGGGGAGATTAAGGTTGTCACATACCATGACTTCACACCCTCTATTCCGGGCAATCTCTACCAGAGGCCCACAGTAGTCACAGCCCAGGGTATGTACTTGGCTATTCACTTTTAGATACTTTCCAGTTCCACAACCTGCAAGAGAAAAGCCCGTATTACATGCTGTCCTTACTGAAAAATGCAAGTTAATTTGTCCTATAACAGCTAAAGAAACTTTATATTAAACGACCAAGACAACGCTTCAGCAAATACTTACATAATTTCATATGGAAGAGAGGAAAGTCAGAGAGGCAGTGCCCATGGGTTTCAACATATCAGCACAATCCAATTACATGAAATGGCCTGTCCCTGGGAAACACAAGTTCCAATACCCAGAAACTGAGGCCGACAGTGAGCAGTTGGTATCTCTGTGTTGATGTATAAATCTCACTTTGTGTGTGCACGCTCTGTCAGATGTCCACTCCAATGGCCAATGGATCTTACCAATTTCTGATCGTGTTAAACAAACTATGGCTAATGGCTTTTCAATGTCTAGAAATAGAATAATCTATGCAATCAAATGTGGTTTTAAACATATGAATGTGACTGAAAAAGAAAGTAGCATCTTTTCACGTATTCTCAGGTTAATGCTAGGTACAGGACATTTCTGTTAGGTCAGCCCATGGCGCTAGCAAAGAATTTAAAAAAGGAGACCATTTTGACATTCTTTTCCTAGTGGCAAAGACTGAGGCCAATCAAATCTTATAGTATGACAGAGAGTAACAGGAATGACAGATTATCTTGGAAAAAAACAAAACCCTATCATTTAGCACCTTCCATCAAGATCTTTTTTGAGACTCGATCTCACTGAATTACCCAGGCTAAATTCCTGGGTTCAAGTGAGTTTTCCCACTTCAGTCTTCTAAGTAGTTGGCAGGCTAAGTTATGCCATTGCACCCGGCTGTTAGTATGACCTTCAGTCTGGAATCCATCACCAAGGTCCTTGCCAGAGGCATTTGAAGCAACCAAGCGAGCTGATTTTGTATCCACTGGCATTTCGTACTTAGAGATTTTTCTGCAGCCCCCAAATATATAAATATTCAGATGAAAAGTTTCGCTGCTTCTGAATAACACTAGGGACATTCTTTATTTTAATAACTCTTCTTTATGCCTAAGAGTGGAATTTCTGGGTCTTGTGGTAGACTGAGTCCCATTTTCCTGAGGAATCTCCATACTGATTTCCAAAGTGGCTGTATGATCCAGACTCCCTGAATATAGTGTCAGTGAGGAGGCCTCATCAGTCTGGGGCCTTGGGTAGTAGATCAATGTTCACTATGGCGTACGAATGAACTTTAGGAGCCCATTCCACATGGAGGGATGCTCTCTCAGCCTGGACACATGGGGGAGGTCCTAGGTCCTGCCCTGGATGAAATGACAGACTCTGGAGATCCCCCCAAGGAGGGCCTCACCCTCCCTGGGGAATGGTGTGGGGATTGGGTGGGTGGTTGGGGGGGAGGCTGGTGGAGGAACAAGGAAGGAGGAGTGGGAGAGGGAGCTGGGATTGACATGTGAAGCAAGCATGTTTCTAATCTAAATAAAAACATATATAAAAATATCACTTCTTCCAGCTAGCCCAGCTTCAGGTGAGATTGGGTCCCTGGCTGGGACCACCCGCCCATCACCCATCCCCCTCCATCTTCGGGGCCGCTCCCGGCTTCCAGAAGAACCGCCCACACAGGCCCCTCCAAGACCCCAACCCAGCGAGCCCAGCTTCAGGTGAGATTGGGTCCCCGGCTGGGACCACCCGCCCATCACCCATCCCCCTCCATCTTCGGGGCCGCTCCTGGCTTCCAGAAGAACCGCCCACACAGGCCCCTCCAAGACCCCAACCCAGCCAGCCCAGCTTCAGGTGAGATTGGGTCCCCGGCTGGGACCACCCGCCCATCACCCATCCCCCTCCATCTTCGGGGCCCCTCCCGGCTTCCAGAAGAGCCGCCCACACAGGAAAGAGATCAGCCCCTCCAAGACCCCAACCCAGCGAGCCCAGCTTCAGGTGAGATTGGGTCTCTGGCTGGGACCACCCGCCCATCACCCATCCCCCTCCATCTTCGGGGCCGCTCCCGGCTTTCAGAAGAACCGCCCACACAGGCCCCTCCAAGACCCCAACCCAGCGAGCCCAGCTTCAGGTGAGATTGGGTCCCCGGCTGGGACCACCTGCCCATCACCCATCCCCCTCCATCTTCGGGGCCGCTCCCGGCTTCCAGAAGAGCCGCCCACACAGGAAAGAGATCAGCCCCTCCAAGACCCCAACCCAGCGAGCCCAGCTTCAGAAGAGCCGCCCACACAGGAAAGAGATCAGCCCCTCCAAGACACCAACCCAGCGAGCCCAGCTTCAGGAAAGAGATCAGCCCCTCCAAGACCCCAACCCCAGCGAGGGCAGCTTCAGCTTCAGCTGCAGTAAGGAAGGAGACCAGTGGAAACAGAAAGCCCCCACCAGCACCCACTGGAAGAAGAGATGGGAAGAAGACAGAATAAGAGATCACTCAGCAATAGAAACACCAACACGACCCCACCAGAATCCAGGGATCCAACACCAGCAAGACCTGAAAAGCACTACATAGATGAAGAAGAGGAGACAGACCTTAAAAGTTATTTCATGAAGATGATGGAGAGCCTCAAAGAAGAAACGAGGAAATCCCTTAAAGAAATAGAAGAAAAAACAAACAAAAAAATCCATGAAATGGGGGAAAAATTCAAGAAATAAACAAATCTCTCAAAGAATCTAAAGAGCACCAAGAAAAAACAACCAAGAAAATTAAGGAAACAGCTCAAACAGTTGAAGGATTGAAAGCTGAAATAGAAACGATAAAGAAAACACAGAATGAAGGGATGCTGGAAATAGAAAAGCTCGGTAAACAGTCTGGAATTACAGATGCAAGCATCACCAATAGAATACAAGAGATAGAAGAGAGAATCTCAGGTGTTGAAGACTCATTAGAGGACATAGCATCGTCAACCAAAGAAAATCTCAAAACCAACAAATCCTTAACACAAAATATTCAGGAAATATGGGACACCGTGAAGAAGCCAAACCTGAGAATAATAGGTATAGAAGAAGGTGAAGAACTTCAACTTGAAGGTACAGAAAACATATTCAACAAAATCATAGAAGAAAACTTCCCTAACCTAAAGAAAGATATGCCTATGAAAGTACAAGAATCTTACAGAACACCAAATAGGCTTGACCAGAAAAAGAAGTCACCTCGCCATATAATAATCAAAACATCAAACCTACAGAGCAAAGAGAAAATATTAAGAGCAGCTAAAGAAAAAGGCCAAGTAACATATAAAGGCAGACCTATCCGAATTACACCTGACTTCTCAATGGAAACGATGAAAGCCAGAAGATCCTGGTCAGATGTCCTACAAACGCTAAGGGAACAAGGATGCCAGCCCAGACTACTATATCCAGCAAAGCTCTCAATTACCATAGATGGAGAAAACAAAATATTCCATGACAAAGCCAGATTTAAACAATACGTATCCATGAATCCAGCTCTACAGAAAATGCTAGAAGGAAAACCTAGAGCCAAGGAAGATAACGACATTCACAAAGACACAGGCAATATAGAATCATACTTTACAAAACACTAAAAGAAAAAGGGAGGAGAAACTACACAAAATAACTTCACTAACAATAAATCAAGCGCAAACAAGGATCACCAATCAATGGTCATTAATATCCCTCAATGTCAATGGCCTCAACTTACCTATAAAAAGACACAGGCTAGCAGAATGGATACGAAGACAGAACCCTTCCTTCTGCTGCATACAAGAAACACATCTCAACACCAAAGACAGACGTTATCTCAGAGTAAAGGGCTGGGAAAAGATCTTCCAATCAAACGGCCCCAAGAAACAAGCGGGCGTAGCAATCCTAATATCTAACAAATTAGGCTTCAAATTAAAATCAATCAAAAGAGATGAAGAAGGGCACTTCATATTCATCAAAGGAAAAATACATCAAGACGAAGTCTCGATTTTAAATATCTACGCCCCAAATACAAAGGCACCTACATTCGTGAAAGAAACATTACTAAAGCTCAAAATGCACATAAAATCTCACACACTAATAGTAGGAGACTTCAACACTCCGCTCTCACCGCTAGATAGGACCTCCAGACAGAAACTTAACAAAGAAACAAAAGAATTAATAGAAGTTATGACCCAACTGGGTTTAACAGACATCTATAGAACATTCCACCCAAATACAAAGGGATATACCTTCTTCTCGGCACCACATGGAACCTTCTCTAAAATTGACCACATAATAGGAAACATAGCAAATCTCCACAGATACAAAAAAATTGGAATAACCCCTGCATCTTATCAGACCACCATGCATTAACATTAGAATTCAACAATAACACAAATTGCAGAAACCCTACAAACTCATGGAGATTGAACAATGCACAATTGCACCATCCCTGGGTAAAGGAACAAATAAAACAAGAAATTAAAGACTTCCTCGATTTCAATGAGAATGAAGACACAACATACACAAACTTATGGGACACTTTGAAAGCAGTGCTGAGAGGAAAGTTTATAGCACTAAGTGCCCACATGAAAAAACTGGAGAACAGTCATACTAGAGAATTAATAGCACAGCTGAATGTTCTAGAACAAAAAGAAGCAAACTCCCCAGGAGGAGCAGACGCCAGGAAATAATCAAATTGAGGGCTGAAATCAATCAAGTAGAAACCAGGAAAACATTGAGAAGAATCAATGAAACAAAGAGTTGGTTCTTTGAGAAAATCAACAAAATAGACAAACCTCTGTCCAAACTAACCAAAAGACAGAGAGAGAACATGCTAATTAACAAAATCAGGGATGAGAAAGGGGACATAACAACGGACTCTGAGGAAATCAAGAGAATCATCAGGGCATACTTTGAAAATCTGTACTCCACAAAATTTGAAAATTTAAAGGAAATGGACAATTTCTTGGATAGATATCACTTGCCAAAACTAAATGAAGAACAGATAAATAATCTAAACAGACCTATAACCCCTAATGAAATAGAAGCAGTCATCAAAAGTCCCCCAAACAAAAAAAGCCCAGGCCCAGATGGCTTCAGTGCAGATTTCTACCAGAAA